AACAGATTCAAGCAACCACGAGGGCATAGGTAATAGTAAAATGTAGCAACATAAATATGAAGTCAATAGGGTGTCTTTTAGTTATTTTTATTTTTGGTTTGTTTATTCAAGGTTTTCTTTTTCAGTTTTGTTTTGATGTGACTGTTTCTTCCTATGTGCCACTCTTCCGTTTTGGAACAGGAATGATTACTCTGTGCTATTATGTGTTGGAACTATGTAACTTCCTTTCCTTCCTTCCTTCCTTCCTTCCTTCCTTCCTTCCTTCCTTTCTTTTTTATTTTTTAAGACAGGGTTTCTCTGTGTAGCCTTGGCTGTCCTGAAACTTGCTCTGTAGACCAAGCTGGCCTTGAACTCACAGAAATCCTCCTGCCTCTGAGTCCTGAGTGCTGGGGTCAAAAGTGTGTGCCACTATCTTCGGGCTGTAACTTGCTTCTTATTTCTAGGAGTCACAGTTAAGAGATTTTGTACATTCCACAGTTTTTCATTCATTATTTTGGTGTGTGAATGGGTGCACATGCGGAGGTCAGGAAACAATTTGTGAAGTCAGTTCTCTCTCCAACACCTTTCTGTGAGTTCCAGGCCTTGAACTCAGGACATTCGTCTTATACAGCAAGCACCTTTGCCTGCTGAGCCATCTCAATGGCCCTAAAAGACTGGACTTTTAAATTTGTAGTTTCTTTAAATTACAGCGACTCCCACTACTCTAGTCCCCTTCTCAATTCTTTTAGACACTGCATATAAGCCATTTTGTTTGAAAACCTATAGCTTATTCTAATGATACTGACTTAATTTCCTAAATTCATTAATCCAACATGGTATTGGGGTAGAAATTTTTCCTTAGTGAACCAAACCCCAGAGGTCTGTGGTACACACCTGTAATCCTGCAAGCAGGACAAGAACACCCAGTGCCCCCTGCTGCCTGGGGGTTGGTAGCAGCCTGACCACTGTCTTGTTGATAGGTCACAGTAACCAAGCCCCACTCCCCTACCCAGAGAAAGCGTGATCCCCATTGTGTAACTTAAGTCATGATTGTCCTGCTTCCCTCTCTAAAGACACAGGGTACACATTAACGAAGGTCACTTTCCCAAAGTATAAAATATCCCCTTTCCCTAAGAAACTTTGGAAGCTTTCTCGTGGTGCTCCTAAACACCCTTCAGACCCCCGCTGTTCAGTCGGCATTCATAAAACTTTTTGACTGAAAAGATAATCCACCTTCAAACCTACGTCAAACTTTCCCAAGCATTTCCCAGGCTGGGGGCCAGTTGCTTAAAAAGTTTCCTAGGTGGGCCTGGTGGCATTCACCGGTAATATCTGACACTCAAAGGCTTAGCCAGGAGGGCTGAGGGATAAAGGAAGGAAAGGTAGAAATATGGAAAGAAGGAAGAAGAGAGTGAGATAAATAGGAAGGCAGCCAGCGCTGGGCGGTGGTGGCGCACGCCTTTAATCCCAGTACTCGGGAGGCAGAGGCAGGCGGATCTCTGGGAGTTCGAGACCAGCCTGGTCTACAGAGCTAGTTCCAGGACAGGCTCCAAAACCACAGAGAAACCCTGTCTCAAAAAACCAAAAACAAAACCCAAAAAAAAAAAAAAAAAGAGGAAGGCAGCCAGCTGCAGGGGTTCACCCCTATAGTCCCAGCTATCCTGGTGAACCTCTGAAAACAAACACAACATCCACGTGGTAGCTTACCAAACAAATCAAATGTAGTAAATGTTTTTTTTGTTGTTGTTTTTGTTTTTCGAGACAGGGTTTCTCTGTGGTTTTGGAGCCTATCCTGGAACTAGCTCTTGTAGACCAGGCTGGTCTCGAACTCACAGAGATCCGCCTGCCTCTGCCTCCCGAGTGCTGGGATTAAAGGCGTGCGCCACCACCGCCCGGCAAATGTAGTAAATGTTAATGAGCAAATGGAGCTTGTGTTTCCCTAGGTGATTTGGATTTAACACTCTGACCTTTTTTTTTTTTAAAGATTTATTTATTTATTATGTATACAACATTCCTGCAATGTATGTTTGTATACCAGAAGAGGGCACCAGATCTCATTATAGATGGTTGTGAGCCACCATGTGGTTGCTGGGAATTGAACTCAGGACCTCTGGAAGAGCAATCAGTGCTCTTAACCTCTGAGCCATCTCTCCAGCCCCCTTTTTGGATTTTTTCGAGACAGGGTTTCTCTGTAGTTTTTTGTGCCTGTCCTGGAACTAACTCTTGTAGACCCGGCTGGCCTCAAACTCACAGAGATCTGCCTGCCTCTGCCTCCGGAGTGCTGGGATTAAAGGCGTGTGCCACCACCGCCCAGCTTCCTTTTTGGTATTTTTGAGAATCGTCCTCTCCCCCCCCCCCCCCACGCCAGTGTATAGTGCTGTTAATGTAAAACCACAACTCTTAACCTCAAAGAGGATAAGAGACAATTTATTCTGGAGCCAAATATGAGAGACTACGGCCCAGGAATGGAGATTCAGGTTTCCTCAAATACCATGTTCAAAGGTGATAACAGTTCCATTAAGTTTTTTTGTTTGTTTGGCTCCTTGGCTGTTTTCTGGAGACAGGGTTTCTCTGTGCAGTCCTGGAACTTGCTCTGTAGACCAGGTTGGCCTTGAACTCACAGAGATCCGCCTGCCTCTGCCTCCCGAGTGCTGGGATTAAAGGCGTGCGCCATCACCACCTGACTTGAGGCCCTATCTTTAAATAATAAAAAAAGAAACAGCAAGTGTTGAGTGAAATTTCCCTGGAGATGTTAACAAATATCTTTTCACTTCAGACAGGGCACGGAGCAAAGACAGATCAATGTAAAGATTCCCCCAGAGTAGAGCGTGCTGAGCCAGTGGATTTTGTTCAAGAGTACACCCGGGTAGATTACTTACAGGAAGGAGCCTCGGTGACCAGAAAACATGTGCATCACCTCTAAGTCCTACTCCATCATGAAGGATGGATGAGCTTATGGAGCCTAAAGTCCTCCCTTTAGTTAACTCTCCATCTCAAGCATTTCCCATGATCACTTGCAGCTGGAGGATTGGCTGAACAAACCGGTTTTGCCTTTGCCCCTTCCCTCTCCTTAGGAGTCAATAGCTCCATTATTTTACTGTAAAGACTAGTTGTATATAGTTTCTTTCAATTATTTGCCACAGCAACTATGCCATGCACTGTAATCTCTGTTCCCAAATGATGGGATGATCATGTTAGGCCAGGAGTAAGACACTGCAAACGGGATTGCCGTGGGGCACTGACTGCAGTCCCGTCTACCCTGAAGGCCAAAGTGTGAGGATTTTGGCCTGAGACTGGACTGCCTCCAAAAGGAAATGGCAGAGGCCCGTGTGGCTGGAATAGACTCGGGGGGGTGCGGTGGGTAGATGAGGTCCGAGGGCACATTTGTAAGGGCCTTGCAGGTCCTCGTGATATATGACTGTGGCTTTGGTCTGTGAGAGCAGTGGGGGCCACAGGCAACCTCTCAAACACCAGGGCTTATACTTTTAAACAGCATTCCTCTGGCTGCTGGGTTGAGATGGCAGGGATAGAAACTAGGGTACAGCTACGGGTTAGTGTCATAGAATGTAATTATCCCACAATGTATGCATATTTAACAAACCATTTTATATCATATTTTGTCATCTTAAAAGGCTAGCGGTGGTATTTCTGGGGGTTTTTCCTTTTCCTCTGGGGTTTTTTTTTTTTTTTTTTTTTTTTTTTTAAATATTTATTTATTTATTTATTTATTATGTATACAATATTCTGTCTGTGTGTATGCCTGCAGGCCAGAAGAGGGCACCAGACCTCATTATAGATGGTTGTGAGCCACCATGTGGTTGCTGGGAATTGAACTCAGGACCTTTGGAAGAGCAGGCAATGCTCTTACCCTCTGAGCCAACTCTCCAGCCCCTCCTCTGGGGGTTTTTAATCCCAGCACTAGGCAGGCAGAGACAAGTGGATTTCTGTGCGTTTTAGGCCAGCCTAGTTCCAGGACAGCCAGGGCTGTTACAGAGAAATCCTGTCTCAGAAACCAGCTAGTCTATAACTTTTATTTAGAAAAAAAGCAGACACCATGCTAAACATTTTTCTTAATAAATCTACTAGGAAATATGTAGCAAAGAGCCTCTTCCATGCATGCCTCCCTCCTCACCCTCAACACCATCAGCACATGGCTCGCTTTTATTCCCACACCCATTCCTAACCCATTAGGTTATTTAATAGAACACTGCTTCCAGTAGACGTTCAGCTGCTCCTCAGTGCTGACAGGAGTGCAAAGCCCATCCTGCCGCTGGTGCAGGGACATAAACCACAGTGGGATAAACTTGTTTATTTTGGTCTGTCTCATCTCAGGGCCATTTGTCTGCTTCACTGCTGACATGAGTGCTTGAAGATTTTAGAAACCCAAACCATCAGGCCTCCAGACACTAACAGAAACCTAGACAATGCTCTTGGGAGAGACTGATAGTATAGTCTCTAATGCCAGGAGATTTTCACCCTACACATGGCTCGCCTGACAACTGCACTTGGGACTAAGGCCAGCACAAATCTTTCCCGAAAAGGCAAAGAGGGCTGGATACAGTAGCTCAACCTGTAATAGGCTCGAAAAGCAGCAGGTCTCCTAGAGACCATTTCATTCACTGCTGTTTGGTCGACAGGCTCTTATTTTTGAAGGGCAGGAGGATCACTGCAAGTTCCATGCCAGTTCATTCAGTCCCCTTCAAACTCAGTGATACATTATTTATATGCATCACAGACAGCTGCATAAGTCTGACTCACTCAGCCAAATCCCCAGCTCACCCAGGGCTTAACATACCTAGATCAGTCCCAGAAATTCATCATTATTTATGCTATAAAAAACCAAATTATTTTGAAAAAGACAACATAGCCAGGCGCAGGCAGTGCAAGCCTTTAATCCCAGCACTCGGGAAGTAGGGACAGGTGGATCTCTTCAAGGCCAGCCTGGTCTGTAAAGTGTTAAAGATACAGAGAAACCCAAACCTTATCTTAAAAAACAAAATAAGGCAACACAAAACCACAAATAGTTTTCATCTTGCTGTTTAATCTAGCACGTTGCCTAGAAAGGCTTGTTAGCAAGAGTACAAATACGTCTCCAGCATGTCTCTTAGAGACCGGTTCACCCACTGCTCTGTTTGGCCGCTAGCCTCTTGTCTCTCTCTTCAGCAATTGTGAGGCGGATTCCTTTTCCTCGGGGAAGAGAAATCCATGGTTTGTTGCCCTAGAAAGAATTAAAACAACTCCATTAGCAAGATAGCATAGTACACAATTGGCTGTTGGGCACATGGTCCTGAGACTCAGATACTAGCTTATCATCAATTCCTGTTGCTGCTGTCATTTTGTTCAGTCACTGCCCACACCTAGAGATGACAATGCCCTTCATACTTAATACCCAAGTTTACTGTGTAGTTGGCATAATTAAGGAACACAATTAAGGAGGGTCATTTATTTCTAAGAAAAACACCCACAAACCACTTAAGGAAGATTGCTTCAATAGCAATAGGGCTCCTTGCCTCTAAGACACCAAAGATGCCCAGAACTGCCTATACCTCTATGTATCCAGGCTGGTGGGAAGGGAAACCCAGACTTACCTTGCCAATAACAAAAATGTTGGAAAGCCGGGTGGCAAAGCTGTTGCCATTGGCATCTTTCACATGGACCACATCAAAAGAGCCGGGATGTCTCTCTCTGTTGGTGATCACACCAATTCTTCCCAAGTTAGCACCCCCAGTCACCATACACAGGTTACCTAGGCAAAAGAAACAATCTGCTTCAAGCAAAACTGCCCTAATCACCAAAGCAACAAACAGCCTAGGAGTGTTGAGCTCCCACAAGGTCCTGGGCTCAACCACCAGCACTGCAAACTCCTCCCCCAAAGAAAAGCCAAGCCAGCTTAGCCCTTCTGCCAGTAGAACTTCTACATATCTGTAGCCTTAAGATTTGTCCCAACCCCCAAAGGCAATCTAACTGCTTGAGGAACGTCTCAGGTCTCTCTTGCCTGCCTGACTTCTAGCCCCCAAATACAGTTGTTGCGATTGACACACTCCAGGGATCAGCTAGCACTACTAAGGTGCTTACATCACCATTAGTCTGAAAATGAGTGCCTATATTGTGTTCTGGCAACTGAAGTTGTCCGGCCTGGTCTTCAACTTGCAGCCTATCTGCCTTCATCTTGATTAGCTGGTAACAGTTTTGCACACTAATAAGACCATTGTAGAAGCAGGAAGTCTATCGGATCTCTCTCACTCACCAAGACTATTCTAAGTATATAGGTCAGCTCAGAAAACCTAATCCCCTGATCCACAAAGCTTACCACCAAAACTTACACCTGGGAAAAAAAACACCCCAGAAAACCAACAAAAATTACTTACAAGTCACCAAGGGGAAAGAGGATGCTTACCAGTGTCAAACTTGATGAAGTCGGTTATCTTGCCCGTATCCAAATCAATCTGAATGGTGTCATTCACCTTGATGAGGGGATCAGGGTAGCGAATAGTGCGAGCATCATGGGTCACCAGATGTGGGATTCCTTTTGTGCCCACAAAGATCTTTCTCACTTTGCACAACTTGTACTGAAAGTATAAAAGGGGTAAGCACATTTAGTCCAGCTCATACACACCTTATTAGTTGTTTCTAGGTCCCAAGTTACCGACTTCAAAAATCCCAGTGGCATTTTCTGCATTCTGCTGCATGAACCACACTCTATTAACGTTAGCAGTTTGTCTAAACAATTATTCCATCAGGAATTTCAATGTGGCATACTATAATATGTTTAAAGATATCAAATCACTGGCAGCCACAGGACATGCCCCCAATCCACTGATAACAGGGCAGCACAGAAAGAAGCCATGCCATCAATTAAACAAACTTTCATTAATTTATTAATTAATCAAGTCCTAAACTTCTGTTAAAAAAATCTACAACGGAATTAAGCAAAGACAGTAATTAAAAAAAAAAAACAACCCAAACTAGTCTTAAAGACCGTCAGTCTTGCCGGGCAGTGCACGCTTTTAATCGCAGTGGGCAGGTGGATCTCTGTGAGTTCGAGGCCAGCCTGGTCTACAAGAGCTAATTCCAGGACAGGCTCCAACGCTGGAGAAACCCTATCTTGGAAAACAACAACAAAAAACCAAACAGTTTCTGGTTTTTTATCAAAACTAATTTCTAGAAATCATTCTCCTTGCTTTTAAAAAACCGCAAAAATAAGCTTCAAGACAGCCAACAGACCTTACATAGAGACTAAGATAAGGCTGGGGCAGAGCATGTGTTCATCACGTGAGAAACCGGGCTCAGTACTCAGCGCCAATACAAGTCAGAGCAAAACCTCACCAGACTGCTAACTCATTTCTAGGTGCACACTTTGATCTCCCTCATCCCCATGATCCGGCAGCACAGGCTCCAACTCGATCCATACCCACCTTGGCCTCCTCAGGTGTAATACGATGAACGGCAAAGCGACCCTTGGTGTCATAGATCAGACGGAAGTTCTCTCCAGTCTTGTCAATGCTGATGACATCTGATATCAAAGAATAAAGTTACCATAGTGACCCTCATTATCCCAAGATGACGAACTGGGGGAGAGGAGCCCCGCTTTTATGACTCCACAAAATTTCTGAAAGTAAATGGGAACTTGGTTTTTAGAAGTTTACTCACAAGTCCGTATATTCCCCACAACCGTAAAAATACTAGTCCTTTCTTATAAGTCAAGGGCTTGTGGCCACCAGGTGCCTTTCCTGAACACTCACTCACCCATAAACCCAGCAGGGTAGGTTATATCGGTCCTGACTTTGCCATCAATCTTAATGAAGCGCTGCATGCAGATCTTCTTCACTTCATCGCCAGTCAGGGCATACTTAAGCCTGTTCCTCAGGAAAATGATCAGAGGCAGACATTCCCTCAGCTTGTGAGGGCCAGTGGACGGACGAGGCGCCTGCAAAAAATTTTAAAACTTTACTTTAGGAAAACCATTTATAGGATCCAATCACACCTATCACCCAGTTTGGAACTCTGCGAAAACAAACAAGACTAAGTTCCAAGCTTTGGAAACTGCACCAAAATCTGGGTTATTCACACGGGGGTGGTGTTTAGAAACTTAAAAATTCCACAGCATTTTCTCCTTCCAAGGATGAGGTCTGCCTACTTTGAGACCTGATTCTATGTATCCATGTAAGTGTACTATGTAACACGTGGAGCAATTGAAACAAATATACCAAATCGAGGTAAGATACAGGTCTTTAAGAGTAGAGAGTTAAAGATCCTCTACACTCAGCTTCATGAATAAAAACGCTTGCTAAAGGTATACTTTAAGACACTCACACCACGACAATACTTACAAACACGCCGGTTAGTTTATCCAGCATCCAATGCTTTGGAGCTGCTACACGCTTCAGATGTTTCTTGGGACCACGAGCCTGAAGGAAGTTTTAAACGAAACATTGTTAAATTGTTTCAGGTCTTTCAACCGCAGCTTAAAAAGACTACTTTCTAAGTCCGTTAATTGAACTGACTTTCATTTACTCCACCATACTGCTTAAGTGTGCCTGCTCACAAAACTTTTATTCTTTCTACGGCACCACGCTTGGTAACTGTCCGGCGACTGAATCCAAGACGCGCAGGCAGACAGCAACAGAAAATGGCCTGGGACGTTATCTCAACTGTCAATCAGAAAGTGCAGTAGTAGCACACAGACAGATGGACATAAAGGTTTCAGGTTCAGAAATCAATCTAACCTCGGCATTACCACGTGTACTGCTCCTTTGTATACTAAAGGACTGGTACTAACTTCCACATTCAAAAGCGGAAGGAAGCCTTTTTTTTAATGCTTCGTACAGAAGTTTACCCGCTATAATGTAAAGTTAAGTCCGTGACAAAGACAAACGGGACAAGCCAAGAGCCCTTTCTCCAAGCAGACGCGGCGCCCACCTGCCCCAGGCTTGCAGTCTGCACTCCCGGCCCCTCGCAGCTCCTGCCTAGGAGAAGAAACGCTTCTCATGAGGCTAGGGGAGGTGTAATCGAGCCAAAGGCCTCGCTCTCTGCGACAGACTTCCCACCCTAGCCCAGGCCAGTTATGGCCCTCGCCACAGAGCCCATCTCTGCCAGCCAGCGGCAGTGCTGCCTTTGCCTCCATCCTGCAGTCGGCCGCACGAGCCCTGATAACCCCGGGTAGTCCCGATCAGGGAGGATGGAAGCCGATGCAACCCAAGAGCTCGCTCTACCCCTGTCTTACCATGGCTGCGCTGGGAACGGAAAGAGACTCGCCTTCTTCCGGTGAGCGAAGAAATTCGGGTCGGAGGCTGCGCGCGCCGGAGCCTGGGATGCTCCGCCCAGTCTCAGCCTTTCCCACTGGGCGGGGACTCTCTCTTGCCATCTGCTGGCGGGAGGTCAGAGGTCCCAAGCTGGGAAACCGAGGCTGAGAAACTGATCTTCAACCCCCAACACACACACTTGTTCTCCTCAATGTGCTGAGTGCCTTTCCAGGCTGAGTGGTGAATGCTGGGCATGCCCAGACCAACCGCACCAGACATCTGCCTGCAAGGAGAATGCTCGTACAGATGGTTGGGGGATGAAAAGATACATTTTAATACTTGATACTTTTCTTATATATTTTATACATTGTCTTCCAGAGTTCCTGAGCCAGTCAGCTTCATACTAAGAGACTTTTCTCTTTTGCTTTTGTGCAGATTGCTGGAGCAAACAGACTATCCAGGGTGAGAGGGTAGGAGATCTGCTTGAACCTGGCACCCTGCCCAGTCATTCCTGTATAAGTCATTTGGCACTTGTCATACTGTAAGGGAAGAGAGGGAACATTAGAGAGTGTCTGGTTATTCTACTTTCCTACTTTGAAGCTGTCCTTCATTCTCCATTTCCTGCTCTGAAGGAAGAGATCCCTCCCTCTCAATTGTATGTGGCCTCCCCTGGGTGAATTCTGTCCATCCTAAACCCCAAAGATCCAATCCCTTCAAACTATTATGAAGGGGTTTTCCTCCCTCCCCTCCTCTCGTCGTCCTGTTTCTCATATATGTGTGTATAATTATATAATCATATATGTATATATATATGATTGATTGGCACTAATGGCTGCTGGGGAGGATTCATGTTTTCATATATACATATATGGATAAAATATGCATATATTATACATATATATTTCTTTTATTTTTTCTTTTTTATACTTTATTATTTATTTATTTATTTATTTATTAAAGATTTCTGTCTCTTCCCCACCACTGCCTCCCATTTCCCTCCCCCTCCCCCAATCAAGTCCCCCTCCCTCATCAGCTCAAAGAGCAATCAGGGTTCCCTGCCCTGTGGGAAGTCCAAGGACCACCCACCTCCATCCAGGTCTAGTAAGGTGAGCATCCAAACTGCCTAGGCTCCCACAAAGCCAGTATGTGTAGTAGGATCAAAAACCCATTGCCATTGTTCTTGGGTTCTCAGTAGTCCTCATTGTCTGCTATGTTCAGCGAGTCCGGTTTTATCCCATGCTTTTTCAGACCCAGGCCAGCTGGCCTTGGTGAGTTCCCCATAGAACATCCCCATTGTCTCAGTGTGTGGGTGCACCCCTCGCTGTCCTGAGTTCCTTGCTCATGCTCTCTCTCCTTCTGCTCCTGATTTGGACCTTGAGATTTCTGTCCGGTGCTCCAATGTGGGTCTCTGTCTCCTTTTATCGCCTGACGAAGGTTAATATTGAGGAGGATGCCTATATGTTTTTCTTTGGGTTCTCCTTCTTATTTAGCTTCTCTAGGATCTCTAATTTATAGGCTCAATGTCCTTTATTCATGGCTAGAAACCAAATATGAGTGAGTACATCACATGTTCCTCTTTTTGGGTCTGGCTTACCTCACTCAGGATAGTGTTTTCTATTTCCATCCATTTGTATGCAAAATTCAAGAAGTCCTTGTTTTTTACTGCTGAATAGTACTCTAATATGTATATATTCCATACTTTCTTCATCTATTCTTCCATTGAAGGGCATCTAGGTTGTTTCCAGGTTCTGGCTATTACAAACAATGCTGCTATGAACATAGTAGAGCATATACTTTTGTTGTATGATAAGGCCTCTCTTGGGTATATTCCCAAGAGTGGTATTGCTGGGTCCAGGGGTAGGTTGATCCCGAATTTCCTGAGAAACCGCCACACTGCTTTCCAAAGTGGTTGCACAAGTTTGCATTCCCACCAGCAATGGATGAGTGTACCCCTTTCTCCACAACCTCTCCAGCAAAGGCTATCATTGGTGTTTTTTTATTTTAGCCATTCTCATGGGTGTAAGATGGTATCTTAAAGTTGTCTTGATTTGCATTTCCCTGATCGCTAAGGAAGTTGAGCATGATCTTAAGTGTCTTTTAGCCATTTGAACTTCTTCTGTTGAGAATTCTCTGTTCAGCTCAGTGCCCCATTTTATAATTGGGTTGATTAGCCTTTTACGGTCTAGTTTCTTGAGTTCTTTATATATTTTGGAGATCAGACCTTTGTCAGTTGCGGGGTTGGTGAAGATCTTCTCCCAGTCAGTGGGTTGGCTTTTTGTCTTAGAGACAGTGTCCTTTGCTTTACAGAAGCTTCTCAGTCTCAGGAGGTCCCATAATGTCTGTGCTGCTGGGGTTATACGTAGGAAGTGGTCTCCTGCTTTTTTTTTTTTTTTTTTCGAGACAGGGTTTCTCCATAGCTTTTGGAGCCTGTCCTGGAACTAGCTCTTATAGACCAGGCTGGCCTCGATCTCACAGAGATCCGCCTGTCTCTGCCTCCCGAGTGCTGGGATTAAAGGCGTGCGCCACCACCGCCCGGCACATATATATTTCTTTTGAGACAGAGTTTCATTATATAACCCAGGCTAGCCTCAGATTCATGATTCTTCTGCTTCAGCCTTCTGAGAGTTGGCTGTACAGCCATGCAGCCCACCCCAGTCTATGTAGTTGGTGGGCTTTTGTTTTTTGTTGCTGTTGTTCTGTTTTGTTTTGGAGACAGATCTCTCTAAGAATGACTTTTAACTTTTAGACTCAAGCAATCCTCCTGCCTCAGCCTACCAAGTGCCTGAGACTACAAGCAAGCAGATTATATATTTATTTTTAATTTTTTTTTGATTTTTCGAGGCAGGGTTTCTCCGTAGCTTTTGGTTCCTGTCCTGGAACTAGCTCTTGTAGACCAGGTTGGCCTCGAACTCACAGAGATCCACCTGCATCTGCCTCCCGAGTGCTGGGATTAAAGGCGTGCGCCACCACTGCCTGGCTTATATTTAATTTTTGAGACAGGATCTTCTAGATAGGCTAGGCTGGCCTCCAACTCAAGATCCTTCTGTCTCATCTTCCCAAGTGCTGGGATTATAGGCATGTACCACTATGGCCAGTCTAAATAATAATAATAATAATAATAATAATAATAATAATAATAATTTGCTTTTTTGAGACAGGGTTTCTATGTGTAGCTCTGGCTGTCATAGAACTCACTCTGTAGACCAGGGTGGCCTCAAACTCAGAGATCCGCTTGCCTCTGTCTCCTGAGTGCTGGGGTTAAAGGTGAGTGCCACCACCATTGGGCTTTATCTTTATTTTTAGTTGATATATAGCAATTTAAAAAATTTATGGGGTAGAAAATGACCCGCCTATGCATGCATATAATGTATAATGATCAGTTCAGAGTAATTGCTACATCTTTCGCCTCAGACCTTTGTAACTTCTTTGTATTGGAAGCATGCAGAATCTTCTCTCCTACCTATTTTGAAGCACTCTACCAAATATTTTCAGCCATCACTGCCTCATTGTCCATCCCCTAACCATCATCCTCTTTGCATCCTTTCCAGGCTCTGCTGACCTCTATTCTCTACTTCTTTGTGATGAACTTTTAATGTAATTAATTTTTTTAAAAAATATTTATTTATTTATTATGTATACAATATTCTGTCTGTGTGTATGTCTGCAGGCCAGAAGAGGGCACCAGACCTCATTACAGATGGTTGTGAGCCACCATGTGGTTGCTGGGAATTGAACTCAGGACCTTTGGAAGAGCAGGCAATGCTCTTAACCTCTGAGCCATCTCTCCAGCCCTGTAATTAATTTTTTAAAGTTTATTTATTTTATTTTTTATGTGTATGAGTGTTTGCTGGCATTTAGTCTGTGCACCACTTGTATGCCTGGTGTCCCCAGAGGTCAGAAGAGGACTTTGGATTCCCTGGAAGTAGAGTTATAGATAACTGTGAACTGCCGTGTTTCTGGGAGTTGAACTCAGGTCCTTTACAGGAACAAGTGCTCTTAACAGCCGAGACATGTATCCAGCCCTTTCTTTTATTTAAAAAGAAAGAATACTGTAGTGATTCTCTGACAATTTCATATGTGTATATAATGTATTTTGGTCATAGTCACACCCCCCCCCCCCATCCCCTTAGACAGGGCCTCTCTGTGTAACAGCCCTGGCTGTCCTGGAACTCACTCTATAGACCAGATTGGCCTCAGAATTCTACCTGCCTCTGCCTCCCCAGTACCGGGCTTAAAGGCCTTCGCCACCACTGCCTGGTCCCATTTCCCTGTCTTAGCCCATTCCTCCCTCTGGAACTCTCCTTCTTCCAACACGCCCCTTTGTACTTTAATGTATTTTGTCTGTTTGTTTATTTGTTTGAGACGGGGTCTCCAGACTTGGCTGGCCCGGAACTCACAGAATCTGTCTACCTCTGCCAGAATTAAAGGCCATGCACCACCACGTTGGCTTCCTTCCTTAGTGAGACCATAGTCTTCCATGGTGAGACCGAATCTCAAAAACAAAACAACTCCTCGAAACCCAAACAAACAGAACACCCGTTGAATTTAAATTTTACTTGTATGGGCATGGAGTTGTTTACTAGATCGTGGGCAACGCAACAGTGACTACATCCTCGAAGAAAAACGACTCTTCAGTAGCCATTAACAGCTGATAGCTCTCCAGCTAAGGATGGGGCCTCCTGAGCCCGTCCCCCATTCCGTGGTGGAATGTTAATGACGGGATCTTTCACAGGTCTCGCGCACGAAAGCACTGCTGCTGAACTCCTGAGCACACTGGCCACGTCGTGTCCAGAAGACAGCACTCCTCCCATCCTCTGGCTCTCAAATCCCCTGAAAGAGCCACTTTGGGGGGTGGGGGGTGGGGAGGGGCTGGGTCTTTCAAGACTGCCCGCGGACCCCATGATTCCTCAACTTGAAAACTGCCACAAGCCGCCCAGTACTCTTCACGATACTGCCTAATCCCACTCCTCAGCTTTAGCGATGCCTACAGCTCCACTCTTTGTCTGAGTTGCCTGGCCCCTTGGGTCCTCCTCAGACGGGGTAAATACCTCATTCTCCCTGCTCCTGGAGCCTAACTACAACACTTAGTTCCACAGGCAGGAAGGAGCGATGGGCTTGCCTGCTCTCTGCTAAGCTGAACATCCCCAGGACAGCGTTGTCCTAGCTCAGTCAGGCA